AGTAACTCTAGTGGTCAGTCCACTAGAGATGCTCAAACATGTGCTGGGACAAGTCATGGTCACTTCTGGAAATGACTTACACTTGAAATTCTTTCATCCATATTCCTTCCCTTTCACTGAAAAAAAAAAATCAAGTCTGGTTATAGTCTCAACATCAGATTTTTAAGTCATACTCTTTGGGAAGGAGGGAAGAAACCACAAAAACATTATCCTGTCAAATTCTCTTTTTCTCCCAGGGTTTTGCTACTAGCCCACAGGAGAGTGCGCGCTAACCTCCTGGAACAGGGCTCTTTCCACTACACCACTAGTTTTCAAACTTGGGTGGGGTGGGGACAGTGAAGCCACTTTTTCAAATAAAATCATACATGGAATCCCAATACATAAAGTAGATAAAAGCTGAGTTGATCTATATGAAGCAGATCTAAAAAGTTTTGCCACACTGGCCTCCCTTGGTGAGTTTCCTGAGGCAGCGTCATGGACTAAAATTTGAAAACCACTATACCAGGCTGGATTATATTTTCCCAACTCATTATTTCTATTGTTTATTTGCTAAGCATTTACAAGTATAGCCCTATAAAAAAAATCTACCAAAGACTCACCAAGCACTTCAGAAAAGGATCTGTGAAAACACGTTGGCCAGTGAGTAGCAGTAGTTAAGCCCTGGAGGTTACACACCACGAAGGCCAGCATTCTGCTCTAAGTCTTTCCACAAATGCCACAGCCCCAAGGATATCAGATTTGGCTCAGTCTCCACATATAGAAATAGAGATCTTGGTGGATAACAACAGAAAATTTTAGGACATTCAGACGGACTACACCAAATGTGCCACGTAATTCGTTTCAAGCAAGAAATAGCCCCCAATGCGTATCACTCTCCCTTCTATAGCCCAGTAATCAAATCATAAGGACAATTTGAACAACCATTGTGTAAACTATGCCTATAAGTCATCACAAAATTTTCAAAATAATCCTGTTAAAAATCCAAATAATAGTTCCTATATGATGGAGTCACTTATTAAATACTATTTTCCAGGGGGTATCATTCACTCATTTAAAATATATTTGAAGTCAATGGTTAATTATCAGTTCTCATAATTTGCCACATTTGATCACTCCTCTCTTAACAAATGAAGAAAATGAGGCTCAGCAAACATTAACTTATTCACGATCATACAAACTAGTACATATCAGAGAAGAGTGGAACTCTGGTATATTTGACTCCAAAACTCATGCTCAAAAAAGCCTCATACATATTCAAAATTGTGGAGTCAAGCCCATAGCAAAAGCCTAATAAGCCCTTTTTGTGCTCCTTGGGGTCTAACCAGGAGCAGACCAACTTAAATAAACACATGCATTTAAATAAAAACTAAAATAAGGCTCTAGCTTTTCCCCCCCAGCCTGTCTTTTTTCATCTCTTCCTGCTGATCTCATATATTTAATTTTTACATGGAAAAGTAACATCCATTCATTAATAATACTTTAATAAAATTCCTTTCTAGTGTATAAATGCACAAGAATATTTTCAGTGGTCTATGTGGACCTAACTGGATGACATTTATTCAGCAAATATTTATTGAACACCTACAATGGATACATATTTATACTTTACCTATAATATATAAACCTATGTGGAGAGCTTAACATTTTTTTTTTTAAATTTTTTTTTTTTAAATTGGGGAATTGGGGGAAGGGGAACAGACAAGTTGCTGTCCTTTTGTTCTTCAGTCTAGTTGTGGAGGACGTTGCTTCACTGGCCCAAGCTGGCACCATCATTGCGCTTTTCCAGGGCAAGGCAGATCAGTCACTGGTTTCTGGACGGCTGCTCACTGCGGCTGCTGGCTGCAGGCGACTCACGGCAGCCCAGCTCCAAGTTGAGCTGTTGTTAGCATCTTAGCTGTAGGGAGCAGTGTCACTGGCCCTCATATGTGGAATCCGAACCGGGGCCCTCTGGCGTCCCAAGCCAGCTCTTAACCAATGTGCCACTCGGCCGGCCAGAGAGCTTAACATTTTAATAGATCTGAACATTTCATGCTTTCCCAAATGCACAAACATACTTGTACAGTAGTCCAGTAACTAATAAAGGACGAAGTACGAAGGAGTATGGTATTTGAAGTTAGAATTGTACCTCAGACTTTTACAAGCTGTATGTGTGCATTTGGAATACTTGGACAGCTAAGAGAAATACTTAACTTCTTTATTAAGCAGCCTCAGTATCCTTGTAAGTAAAATGGGGATAACACTCATCTTACGGTGTCATAATAAGCATTAAATAAGGTCACATATATAACTACCAAGAATAGCACTATCCAAGAGAACTTTCTATGATAATAAAAATGTTCTGTATCTTCAATGTCCAATATGGTAGCCATTAGCCACATGTGGCGATTGAGCACTTGGAAAGTGGCTAATGTAACTAAGGAACCAAATCTTTTTATAGAAACAAAAGTTTATTTCTCATTCAAAGTTCAGCAGACTTTCACCCACGAACTGAATTTTAAATTTTATTTCATTTTAATTATTTTAAATTTAAATAGCCACATATGACTGACTAGTGGCTACTATGCTGGACTGTGCTGGTGTAGAACAAAGCTTAGCACATTATAGATGATTGATATTGGTTTATTTCTATTTCCCTATCAATATCAGTAATTTTTTATATCCTTCTCTTTACTAGCAGATTAGTTAAATTAAAATAGCACAATAAAGAATCTCCCATAGGAAACTAACTTACAGCTATTAAATTGCTTCTTCATCCAAACAGCAATAGCAGCATAAAGACAAAAGTGATTTATTAATTAGTTGCATGTGCCATACACTGTACTAACAGCTTTGTATGATTACCTCATTTAATCTTCATAATAATTCAGTGAAGAAGGTGCTATTATTTTGTAAGTAGGGAAATTAAGCTTAGAATTTGTCCACACACCCAGCTAGCAAGTCAGTAAGCAGATTTAAGTCCATGCAATCTAATTCCAGAGGCTGTGCTTAGCCACGATGCTAAGCTGCCTGCATCTTAAAGAACCAGTTTACGTAAGATTGTATACTCTACAATAAATGTCCTCCCAACCAAATGCCACTGCCAAACACACACACACACACACACACACACACACACACACAGCGCAAGTTGGAAATCAAACAATTTGGGCTATAGACACAACGCTATACATGCTAACCCCAAGTTAAGTCTCATGTCCTAACTGGTGTAACTGTGTAAATGTACCAAATCTAGTGACTGCACCTATTAGGAAGATTGAAAAAACTATCACCTTTCTCCCCAGAATAAAATGACTAAAATATAAATTCATATTTTAGCACAAATAACCTATTTTGATAAAAGGGTGGGGGAGCAGGGATTGGACCTAGAAACACAAGGCATAGGTAGTCAATATTTATTGGAGCCCCATAAAAGACATCAAACATTTCTGCTAGGAGAAAATTAACTGGATTCACTACATTTGCATGAAGCACGTTGTCACTCTTAATTCTAAAAGGAGCTTAATTCACTTAATGTGTAGCCTTTATGACAAAATGTTTATTGTGCCCAAAGTTGAAATTTTTATTCTAGTTCTGCCTGACAAGTCCAGAGACATATTTTACACAGCGAGCCATAGCACATTCTTTTTTATTAAATTCCACAGGAACTTCTGGGTGGCAGGAAATGTCACATCTGACCCATTTTCCTCTCTCCTGGAGGAGTGAACAAGAAAAGGCCATTGACCTTTTACCCAGATCAAAACAAAGTATGTAAATTTGACATGATTCAATCCATCATGTCTCTGGCTTCTCTTCAAACTTCTAGATCCTTCATATTGCACAAACCCCTTGGTCAAAGCTAGCATTGAGAAAGAGGTTCTATTTTTTAAGTTCTCAATCCAGTATTACTAGGCACTAAAAAACAAACTGCTTTAAAGATCCGTAATAAGTAACTTTTTAAAAAAAACACCTATACTTGTTTAGATGTCTGTCTTAATTCAGCTTAAACAAGTGCAGATGCAGTTAAAACCAGAATAAAAAATACAAACAGCACCAATGTTCTAGAAACACTACTGAAAAACCAAGGAGCTGATGGAAGGGAGAAGAATCATGTAATTATGGCACCATTAATGTAGCTCTGCCTGACCTGCTATGGTGACCCGGGGCTAGTCCTTTTGACACTTCATGCCATTCATTCCATATCAGTGACAGAGAATTAACTACTATATATCTCAGTGGAATAGTGAATAGATTAAATTATTAGGCTAAATGCTCTGGGCAAAAGTCATATGAATGTTAAATATTATGATTTACGAGCATTAATTTTCCTAGCACTCCTGTGGGGTTAGGAAATTATCTTGATTTCATAGATGAGTAAACAGGCACAGGTGGTAAGATCACATGGTAAGGTTCCATTTACTTAGTCCCTGTGGGAAGGGAATTACTACACAACTTTAGCAATCATATGAACTTTCTCGGCACATCCTACACAATCTTTAATATTCAATCCTTAATTTAATGTTGCATCTTTTGACATGCCATCAATAGAACAAAGAGAGCTCTAAGATACAACAAGTCCAGAAAAAGTGAGGGGCAACAATTCTGTGTGCTTTGACAAGAACAGTCATAGAAAGAAAGACACAGATCATCTCAGGATGAAATGTGATTATTTTCAAGATTTCACCTCTGGTAACATGTAGCGACCTTCAACCACAAGAATTAAGAAACATGGCTTGCTGTGAAAACACTTTGAAAATAATTTTAAAAGGCTACCACTGGCCTTCATGATGGTGTACCCCAGCCAAATTCTCTGGGAATGTATACTTGCCCTCTGGGCTTTAATTAACAACTATGCAGAAAGAGAAAGCAAATCCAAAGAATCTGAAGAATGAGCGAATAGCAATGGGAAGGGCTCAGAAAGGATAAAAAAAGGGTAAAAATACTATTCATGTGTAATGGAATATAAAAAGAAGCACAGAAGATTTTTTTTGCTCTTATCTAAGGCTGCCTGTTACATTGCTTACCCGACTCCGAAGACAGTCAGCCAGGTTTCGGCGTGTGAAGTTAGCTGCTGCTGTTGGAGACAATTCATAACCTGGCACAAGAGATAAACAGTTATACTTAAGTGAAGCAGAAGGAATAACAGGACCCTGAATTATTACACTACTCCTGTTCATACAGCACAACACCCTCTGTACACTCAAGAGTATTTAAAGTACACAGAACAAGGAGTGCAATCTTAACTTCTTGTCCCTTTCCCCATATAACAATTGTGAAATAGCTGATTAGCACCGACAGTAATTCCTGGCCACAAAACACAACCAAGGTGGCTCTAACTATTTTGTGGTGAGATTAAATTCACAACCTTGCTTAAGCTATTTATTCATCAACAGACTGGTTTCCTCTGCGAAAGGGGTACAAATACACAGGTCGAAAAAAAAAAAAAGAAGTCTTGAGATGCCAATTTTTTAAAGTTTATTTTAAAAGATATTGGGAAAAGAGGCTAGAGGTTA